ATATATATATATATATATATATATATATATATATATATATATATATATATACATGTAGTATGTAGAATGAAATCACATGCATTTTCGTATAGAGAATGAAGTCACATGAATCTCAGGTGTGAGTGTTTCACAGACTTCAACAGAGTGAAAAAACTTGATGGTTCTGTGGGTTTCGCCTATCAAATCTGATCTCTGTTTTGTATTTTCTATTGGATTCAAGTCAGGTGACTGCATTGGCCATTCTACAGCTTGGACACATTTGAGAGTTTTCTTGGCTGTGTTTTGGATCATTGTCTTGCTGAAATGTCCACTCTGGTTTCATCTTCATCATCGTGCTAATGTAGAGGCTGCACTGAAGCAGCTTATATTCATTTACACTGACAAAGGTCAGAGGCTTGCTAAAGAACTACTGAGATTTTAGCTGCTGTCTGGGCTTTCACTGCCTTTTTACACCTCCCTTTTTTCATGTGTTCAATACCTTTTTCCTGTGTGATTTTTTTATTTTATTTTATTGCACAGAACATAATTTGTAAACTAACTGATAATGTTTTCTTTGCATATATGGATGTATTTGGTTGTTACCAACATCTGGTAAAAGTCTCAGGTCAACAGCACCTTCAGAAATATGCTTTCTGAGAAAAATGGTGACGTGTGCAATACTTATTTCCCCACTGTATATATAGTGCATCCGGAAAGTATTGATAGCGCTTCACTTTTCCACATTATTTATGTTAAAGCCTTATTCTAATATGGATTAAATTAATTTTTTTGAGTTTTTGAAATTTTTGCAAATTTATTAAAGCTGAAAAGTCACATGTACAGCAGTATTCACAGCCTTTGCTCAATACTTTGTTGAAGCACCTTTGGCAGCAAGTCCTCAAGTCTTTTGAATATGATGCCACAAGCTTGGCACACCCGTCTTTGGGAATTTTTGCCCATTCCTCTTTGCAGTACCTCTCAAGCTCTATCAGGTTGCATGGGAAGTGACAGTGTTCAGCCATTTTTCAATCTCCCCAAAGATGTTGAATATGATTTAGGTCTGGGCTCTGGCTGGGCCACTCAAGGACATTCACAGAGTTGTTGTGAAGCCACTCCATTGATATTTTGGCGGTGTGCTTTGGGTCATTGTCCTGCTGGAAAATGAACCGTCGCCCCAGTCTGAGGTCAAGAGCACTCTGAAGCAGGTTGTCATTCAGGATGTCTCTGTACATTGCTGCATTCATCTTTCCCTCTATCCTGACTAGTCTTCCAGTTCCTGCTGCTGAAAACCATCCCCACACCATGCTTCACTGTAGGGATGGTATTAGCCTGGTGATGAGCGGTGCCTGGTTTTCTCCAAATGTCACGCCTGGCCTTCACTCCAAAGAGTTCAATTTCAGTCTCATCAGACCAGAGAATTTTGTTTCTTGTGGTATGAGAGTCCCTCAAATGCCTATTGTGGCTTCCGTCTGCCCACTCTACCATACAGGCCTGATTGGTGGATTGCTGCACAGATGGTTGTCCTTTTGTAAGATTTCTCTCTCTCCACAGAGGAACGCTGGAGCTCAGAAAGAGTGACCATCGGGTTATTGATCACCTCCCTGACTAATCCCCTTCTCCCCCGATAACTCAGCTTAGATGGCCGGCCAGCTATAGGAGGAGTCCTGGTGGTTTCAAACATCTTCCACTTACAGGTGATGGAGGCCACTGTGCTTATTGGAACTTTCAGAGCAGCAGAAATGTTTCTGTTACCTTCCCCAACCTTGTGCCTCGAGATAATCCTGTCTCGGAGGTCTACAGACAATTCCTTTGTCTTCATGCTTGGTTTGTGCTTTGACATGCACTGTCAACCCTGGAAGCTTATATAGACAGGTGTGTGCCTTTCTAAATCATGTCCATTCAACTGAATTTACCTCATGTGAACTCCAATTAAGCTGCTGAAACATCTGAAGAATGACCAGTGGAAACAGAATGTAGCTGAGCTCAATTTAGAGCTTCACGGCAAAGGCTGTGAATACTTCTGTACATGTGAATTTTCAGCTTTTTTATTTTTAATAAATTTGCAACAAATTCAAAAACTGTGTGCATATATATATATATATATATATATATATATATATATATATATATATATATATATATATATATATATATATATATTTATGTATATATAATAACAATTTGTTATAGTTATGCAGTACATGCAGCAATAGAGCAGAAATGGAAATAAAAGTAATGTGTATAAATAGCAATGACAAACAGTAAAATATTGGTAGTGTTTCAATAGTATTTAGCATTCATAATATACATTTTAATAATATTGTTAATTTCAAAAATAATACTAAAGTTGGTGAGGATGAAAGTAATATTTTGTGATGACATCAACATTGATATCACTAATAATGAAGACAATTATACTACTACAATAATAATAATCAGTATGTAATAACTAGTGATAATGGGGGGAAAATATAAAAATACGCTTTTATACTTTTGGATCTTTGGTGTTGCCGCCTTAATATTTGTTTGTGTATATATATTTTATATTATATAAACTATGATTATATTTGAATATTCAAATGATTTCTTAAGGTGGTAAATGTTTAAGGGTTACTTCATCCAAAACTGAAAATGTTGTCATCATTTACACACTTTTTACTTCTTCTTCCAAACCCTGTTTGAGTTACTTTCTTCCATTGAACACACAGGAAGACATACTGAAGAATGTTGGAAACCGGTAACCATTGACTTCCATATTTGTTTTTCCTACAATTGAAGTCAATGGTTACCGGTTTTCAGCATTCTTCAAAACATCTTCTTTTGTGTTCAACAGAAGAAAGAAACTCATAAAGGTTTGGATACACTTGAGGGAGAGTAAATACCAAGTAAATTTATGTGTGTGAACTATCCCTTTAAAAAAGCGGCTTGTTTTCTTAAGTGATTCTTTGCTATATAATACAGAATTTTTTGCTTTTTTTTGGCTAATTGGCTGTATCAATTTCTGCCAAATGCATTTACAAATAAATCCAGCCAATTTTAAATGTCAGCTGGCAGGCTTGAGTGGCATTTCCAGCATTGTAAGCATCTCCACAGACTGAATTGGATTTCAGGCTCCATCATCCAGAGCGTAAAACTGAGTGGAAATGAGCGGAGTTGGAGATGCTTTGATAAAAGGAGGCTGAAGCTGGAGAACTGACCCTCGACGCAGAAGCTGCTGGCCTGAAACTGGAGCATTCTGGCCTTGACTGGGCTGCAGGATCCTTCAACACACACCACAACAAGGTGGATGAAAACTACATGCCTCTCCCACATACAGTTGAAGTCAAGATTATTAAGCCCTCCTGTGATTTTATATATATATA